AAGATCCTAACAGATGACTTAGATTTAACTGTTATAGATCAGTGAATTATATTTCTAATGACGTTTTCCATCTAGTTTTTAATTAGAATGCATCTTATTGCAAAAAAAAAAAAAAAAAGTGATGGTGTTTGTTTTTGTTTATAAGGAGTTAACGGTTTAATTTTTTTGCCAAAATACTTTAAGGTCCATTTTAATATATATATATATATATATATATATATATATATATATATAAAAATGTAAATTATATGTAAAAGTAATATGTAAATTTTAAAACCATTTTTATGCTTGAAAATGTGATCTGAGGAACCAGGAGAAACAAATTTCCTGGGGAAATAAAATATAATCAATGAACCCTTAAGGTTGTCTGTTTTTGTTTTAATTTGAATTATATATATATATATATATATATATATATATATATATATATATATATATATATATAGTATATATATATATACATACATATGCATGCGCATATATATATATATATATATATTTAGAATAAAAAACTCCAAGAGGATAGAATCCAGGTAGAACTCAATGTCTAGGACAGAGTAAGGATATAATAAAAAGGCTTAAACACTAATATTCCGTGGTCATCGTCACACAAAATCTTTCATGTTTCAGTACTTTGATTGTACTTCTTCAGGCAATGGCAGTTAGCTGGTGATGAAATGATTTCTAAGAAAATTTACAAACAAAGTGTTACCTTTTTTCCCGTAAATTAAAGTCGGGTGGAGAAACATAAGGTCAGAATCAAAAATAGACTTGTGGGTATGTCTTGATTAACCAATTGCAAGACATACCCACAAGCCTATTTTTAATTCTGACCTTATGTTTCTTCACCCGACTTTAACTTTCGGAAAAGAGGTAACACTTTGTTTTTAATATTTTTTTTTTTAGAAATCTTAATCGTAAGTTACTTACTATCGCCTGAAGAATTACAATAAAAGTATTGAAACATGGAAGCTTTTGTGTAGCGAATTCAACATGTTTTTATTATAATCTATAATAATAAACTGCTCTACTCTGTATTGATCATTTTAAAAAAAAAATAAATGCTACCAACAGTGGAATCTTAATCCATCTATTCTTTCTCTGATTTGTATGTATGTATTATATATATATATATATATATATATATATATATATATATATATATATGTGTGTGTGTGTGTGTGTATGTGTATATATATATATATAATAGTAGTACGAGTTTGGAAAACCTCGGATAGCTCAACTTGCAGATATGTAAGGACAAATCGGTACCCGAGGAAAAAATTGGAAATAAAAAAAGAAAGCACGAAAAACATCAGAAAAAGACGAAAAAAATCGGCAAGTGCTTTAAGTCCTTAGTCCAAAGGAAAAAAAAAAAACCAAACGAGTAGAAAGACTAAACCGTAGAGTGCTCAATACGCTAAGCAAAGCGATAAACTAGAATAAATCCTAAGGAGCCAGGCAAACCTACCTAGGTTTCACTTAAACGGATCATCAGGGCAAACTGGCTAGTTTGCCTTGAAGATCCATTTAGGTGAAACCCTGGTAGGTTTGCCTGGTTTCTAGTATATATATATATATATATATATATATATATAAAGGATTAATGTTCTTTTGAGAGTTCGTGTTTGATATATTTTTTTCCATTCGTAATTTTCAAATATATAATCTTTCTAATATCATAAGTTTTTGCTTTGTTTTATTTTACTACTTAACTCCTTGACGTTCATTTAAAGACGAAATATATTTTGGATTGTAAGAATAATTCATTTTTTGCAAGTCAATATTGCATTTAACAATTTTTGTTATAATAATAATTTATCTTGATAAAAATCTGTGGGAAAGAGATGGATTCATGCCTTTATTAAAGATATTTCTATGTCAGTGAATATAACGAAGCTGACTCGAACTCGTTTCTACTTCTCATTACGAGTCGCTGTCTTTCACACCACATGCTTATTACACAACATCCACTCTAAGGTCATAGGTCGAAGGTTATCACGACTCCGCGCAGATTTCTTTTCTTTATTATTTGTGAATTATTATGCATTCTTGAGGAAGATAATCGAGTGGTACCGCGTTGCTTTCTACATTATTTTTCTTTTGTTCTTTTCATTCAGAGTAGGCCTTCTCCTAGACTGGCCGCCAGTCAAGGCTTGAGTATCCAGTTTACCCAGCAATTTAAACAATAGCTAGTCAGAGGCAAATGTTGAGTTGCACCTTTTTCAAGGCTATTAGTGCGAAATTGAACTGACCTGGCTATGCTGAAATTTAACCCCCGGCACACCAATCCCCTTTTCCACACCGCCAACTGCTACGCAATCGAGACATGCCTACCACTATCTGCTTTAATCCTATTAATTTAAATCCATCTTCTTTCCTCCACCCAACTATGGGGTAAATAGCGTGGGTTGCGCTCTCTAGATATGGGTGACAGTGAGTCTGCAAGGAAAACACTATGAAACAAAGCAAAGAGAAAGCACTCAAAAATCTTTCCTAAGAAGCCATTGAAGTTCACAGATAATAAAGAAAATGTAATATGTGAAGTGTCATATCCTATTGGAAAAGTTAAAAGGTCATTCAATTTTTTGACATCTTTTTTTTCTTTTTTTTTTTAGGATGAGTACCCGTCATCTTTTAAGATGGCCTTATATTAATATACTAGCAGCATGGCCCGGCGTTGCCCTTGCTTGATTCAAAAATCGTACGACTCATACAGCAATCGCTATTACTTGACTTAAAATATTTTTGCTCTTCCTTGCCTTTAAAGGAGTGCTTTTGCCGTGCTGATGTTGCTACATGCCTTACTTCTTGCCTATTTCAATTGAATGAAAAAAGAATGTTAACAACAAATACTTTTTCACATCCAACCCAGTTCTGCGGAATCAGAATCAACGTTGAGTTTAAGCAAGTGAATGAGCCAATTGGAGTAAAGTGCCATGCAGATTTAAATTTTTCCCACTTGTGACGAATGCAGCTATCGATTTTTTTTTGCATGCTAGCATGCTAGTTAACATTCGTATCAGTCAGCTGTTGGCTCTCAATCTGGCTAGTAGAAAATGACCGCAAACTACATGGAAACTGCCGTAGAAGGATGAAAAAATCGATTATTTGCACTATCGATGGGACTTGGGAAATGCAACGTCGGTTTTGGCCTTTTCGCTAACTTGGAGCATGTGCATGTAAATGTTGGTGCAAATCCGTCGAAAATTGCGGCCGTGCATTAGTTACACACACAGACACACACACACACACACACATCCTGCTTTTATAGATAGAGATTTGATTGATTAACGCTTCTTGTACTAACCAAAACAAAAAATAATCTAGTCCAAGAACTTACAATAATTTTCCGTATTTATCTTTACACCATCATCGATTTTAAAGAAACCTATAATTTTACAGCCTAGAATACAATTCCAAAATATTACTCCAACTCATGTTATTGTATTCTCAGTCATGTTTGAGCTTTTCCCTGAATGTCCTAACCTCTAACAAGTCTCGCAGACCGATTCACTTGTTTAATAAATTCGATCATTATTGAGTGCCTCACTAATATGGCGTTTTTACAGATTGTTTTTACCTAACTTCCATGGTGATAGTGTTAACAGTTAACACAGAATCATTACTTATATACGCTACACGTCAGGTATTAACCTGAAGTTTAACATATGTGAATATTGACAAAAAATGCTCATTTTCTTTGGCCCTTATTTTTGGGGACTTCCTATGGATCAAGAAATGATCCCGAACCGCCTTTCCCTGAGATGAGGAATGTACAACTTCGAGATATCCTGACACTGAACTTTGATTTCAACGTTAGTGTCAAAACCACTGAGAAGCAACATAGTCTGGCATAAGGTCACTGTTACTGAACTTTGGTCAATTTCTACATTGTTTCTCGGCGTTTTTTTGCCAATGTTATTTAACTTAATTTTTCATAAGACCATGATACCATGAAAAGTTGAGACATTTTTTTTTAATTACAAGTTTAATCACGACATAGATGACTATGACTTTAAATTGTTTGGTTTGGTTTGTTTTATCAACCTTAATGGGTCATTTAATGCCGACATTTTTTTTCTCCTGGTAATATTTTTGTTTTGTCAAAAATTCATTTCTGTTAATATTTTTTTCCTCAAAAACGTATAGCTGGTAATATTTTTTTTCTCAAAAACGTACAGCTGGCAACATTATTTTTTCAAAAACGTATTATCAGAGGCCTTGCTGTTGGACGTAGTTTAGCGTCATACCCAGGACGCAAATGTAGTTTAGCGTCATATCCAGGATGCGACTTTAAATAGATTTTTCTTTATTATCTGTGAACTGCCATGCATGCTTGGCAGAAAATAGTGGGGTGGTTTTCCGTTGTCTTCGTCACAGTCTGAAATTCAGAATTTTCCTCATCTTACACTTGTTGCCACCTAAGTCTGCTGTTTAACACAAAGTTGGTTAGTCGAAGAAGACACGGATCCATGCTTAAAAAATAATAAAGGACAAAGTTTTACTCACTTATATTTTAGAAAACTCGTCTTGTTATTTTTTTAATCATTTCACCTCATGCAAAATAGTAGAACCACCAAGACACAAGGGGTTACTGAGTGTGAAAGGTTAAGTAAAAAGCGAAACGTTATCAAGAAGCGAGAACCAAAAAAAGTAGAGTCATCAAGAAGAAAGTAGATAAATAATTAAAGATCAAAGTTAACTGGAAAACATGAAGCCGGAAGAATGTACCACGAGAAACTGTTAGCATAGAACTTACGGTTTCATCAAGCAGCTTCAATTGTAAATTGATGAGACCTTTCAGCCAATCTAGTACTGCGCTTAAATTCATAAAGTCTAGGTACTATAGAGGAAAGTTCATTCGAAAAATTACCATGAAAATATTTATAGTAAAGGTACAAGGAAGCTACATTACGGCGATGGAAACCGAAGCGACAGGTCAGGACCATTAATATTGCTGATCCTACGAGTGGTGCCGGGACTTCAATTCCTTAGACTTACGGCCATATCATGTTGAAACACCAGTTCTCGTACGATCACTGAAGTTAAACAACGTCGAGTATGGTTAATAGCTAAATAGGTGACCGCTTGGGAATACCAACTTCTGTAAACTTGGCTGTGCGGGTGGTTTAATGGATAAAAACTTGGAATCGGAAATCAAAGTGCGAATTTCAGTCGTGTTCTTTATATTCTATTACACGCAAATAACTTTTGGAAAGATAGGAATCCACCTCTTCTCCCCCTAGATATGGGTTAATCAGGACTTGTAATAGTTAATCATTATCTGAAAAATTTCCAGTCTAAAAAAATTTCTGGCTTTAAATAACCTGCAAAAGGTTGATGAGCCTTAAAAAAAAAATTAATCAATACTTTAACAAAGATAAAATTGCAGATCAAACTAGTTCGATCCTCTCTATGTGCCCAACTTTCACCGTCTTGCGTTATTCAATCATCAAAGTCCAAACAAAGTTCCTCTAGGTTTTTTTTTTTTATTCTCTCTACATCAGTGGCAGTTTGTCTTTCTTTTTTCAGCGGTTGAACTATTTGTCTCTCAAGACGAACTTGGATCTTTCTAAGGTATTTATCAAATCGTCCATTTTATCGCTGGTCCACCTTGAAGTTTCCATTTCTGTCTATTCGCTCTGTCCATCTATCTGCTCGGCTCATCCGTCCGTTGACCATGCAGTCAGTCAGCCAGTTGACCAAGCTGTCCTTTCCGTGCATCTCGTCCGCTCACCGTTGCCGGGCCATCTGTCTGATCAGCCGTCATTCATTTGCCCGTCACTCACTTATTTGGTTGACTCCCTTTCCACCTTATGTCTGTCTGACTGTCTGACCACCCATCAATATTTAAACGCAAGTGTCAGATGCCTTAATGATTTATTCATCGGTCGTTGAAAGGGAAAACCCCTCTAATTTACGACTTTGTCTTTTCTTTGCCGATCCCTGCCCCCCCGACCACAGTACTGCTCAAGGCGAGAATATATTAAATACATTTGATTGCCGTCTTTGTCCTCTGAGCGCAACGATATTGGCATCTATTCGACGAAGCAAAAACAGTGTCACCGTAAAGGGAATCCCTACCGAGCTTCATTTTTAATTTTCTTTTTTCTTTTTAATCAATTATCCAGTCTAATATTTGTTTATCTCTTGTTATTTAATCCTTAAGAGAAACGCTACTTTTAAAAACATAACAATCCACAGTAGGCGGCTGGCAACGTTGGGGGACTTCAACATGTTTCATCCCCACCCCGCTGCGACATTTTATTGAAAACGAGAACTAAACGAAAAGCCAACTATATCTACTTGGCCTCAATCTATGTCAAACTATTGGTCGAAGCTGTATCATTTTTTTTTCTTTTATCATTTCACCCTAAGCAAAGCTGGAATCCCACTAGTACGCAGAGGGTTACAGGAAGTGAAAGTGAGGGAAAAGAATGAGTATAGGGTGGTTTGAGGAAAGCACAAAAGATGAACGGGATTCAAGAAGATAGAAGATGGCGATTGATGTTGCATTTAAATTTTTGAAGACTGTAATCAGAAAAGCAAATAAACGGGAGTTCCACAGGCGGGAAGTGCGAGAAAAGAAACTATTGGAGTTAAAGTGGCGACTGCATTTAGCTATTTCGATAGCAAAAGCGTGGGACCAATATGCCACTCTAGTAACACGCTTAAATTCATGTACTCGAGGCACCAGAGAAAAAAGCTCGTCAGAGAAATTGCCATGAAAATATTTGTAGAAAAGACAGAGGGAAACCCCGTAACATCGGTGAGAAATGGACTGAAAATGAGATGTCAAGTCAGGATCGATTGTATGCATGGTAGATTTGTAAATGTACAAAATGAACTCTGACCAGAGAAAAATTCTGACACGACACAGTGACCTAACTTTCCTTGCAGTAGATGCAGCTATTGATTCGTCTAAAAAATCATTACTGCCATTACTTTTCCAAATAAATCATTTTTTTTCCTCAATATTGCGTCATCCGAAATTAGAACGGTTCTATCTGTACTTTGTGTAGTTTTTAGATATTCGTCTTCAAAATTTGGCTGTCCATAACTTTTTCCATAAATTATCAGAAATACTATATATAATTTTCTCGGAATTAATTGTAGATTTTTGTACAAAATATGATTGTTCATATAGGGGCGTTGCAGAGAGAACAGGCCACGGGTCATAACTAAAAACTTTTTTTAATCGCGGTAGGCCTTTTACAGTAAAGATTGGATTGAGGAATCAGAGTAAAGCTAGGATTGAGGAATCAGAGAGCAGAGTTCGAATTCCAGTCGAAATTACATTCACTTTCCCTTGGGAAAGGTATGAAACCAACTCTAATCCCCCTCCCAGCTATGGGTAAATAGCGGCATAGACGTTTCTCTAGCGTTGGGTGACAACAAGTTTAGGGGTAGGAAAAACTTTGAATTCAAACTGTGGACCGAACATATGAGCAACAAATAGGTTTTAGAGAAAATGGAAACAAAAAGGTTACTTAATATCAGTAAGAGGCAGTTGAAATTTCTGGGGCACGTAATGAGGAAGGAGGGCTTGGAAAATCTGATACTCACAGGACAGATTGAGGGATAGCAGTGCCTGATTATAGGAATGGTAGAACAGAGTTTGGGAGAAATAACAAAAGACCTACAAGGGACAGGAAGATGAGGAGAGTCATGATCGCCTACGTCCTAAAGAGACACAACACATAAAAGAAATAAGATGTAACCCTGTCGAAGGACCGTTCACATTGATTCGATGATCCCGAATACAGTAGATACGTTTTATTTATTTTATTTTATTTTTTTATTCTAAGGTGACGATTACTTTCAAGAACATTCACAAATATATTGTTTCATTCTAAAACATAAGTACAAGCGAAAAAAAATATAAATTCAAAAATTTTTTAAAAAATGTTTACAGTATAATAGATCGAAAAATATTCATTTTATGAGAGGATCAGATAAAAAGTATAGATCAGGGATCTTTAAAGCTTTTTATATGAATTAAAACCCCCACCCACACCTTTAAAGCTGTGTTTATGATTTAGCACCCCACCCAGAGCTCTTGAGACGCCCTACTTAAAATAACCTCAACATGTGCAGTCTAAATGCGGAGCGAAGTTTATCAAGCTAATAGATCATTGTAACTGGTGAGTCTGATTCTTAACAAGGACCACCTCCGGAGAGCTCATCGGTGCGTTATGGTCAACAAGCTTGTCTCGCAGATCAGCATTAACGCGTTCGATCATCTCTGTATGTCCTATACTTGCGACTTTTGCTAAACTAGGCTAGTCTGAGTCATTAAGAATTTCCCCATACATGTACATCCTGAGCGATAGCTCGATCTGATAATTATTGAATGTATTTTATCGATAAGCCATTTATGGAACATTAACCATTTGGGAGTCTTGTCTTACCGTCGTGGGGCGGTGAATAAACTAGTCTAGTATGTAGTATGTTCGATCCTGAATAGGTGCACCGATGAAAATGAACTCGTGCTATACGAAGCTTCACTTGAGTTAGATGGATGATAGGTAAAAAGAGAAGCAAGTCAGTATTTTCACAAATAAAACTGGTCTAAAGATTGATATTGTTTGCGAGATATATTTAGATGTCAAATCTATCATGTTCAGTGTCAACTTATAATATCTGTTTTTTTTTATTACTAATGTTCACCCAATACAAAGCCCTAGAGCCAGTCAAGATAGAGGATTACTGTGAGTTGTTGTATGGGCGTAAAAAGGTGCAAGAAGAGAAGTTTTGAGGGCTATGAAGGAAAAATAACAGTTAAATCTAGATTGAAGAGGTCAAGATTTAAATAGTGAATGACATTTCAGAGTTCAGTCGCAGATGTTAGAACTATAGATTTGAAATAAACTTAAGTAACCGGAAATTCAATCCTAAGCAGGAAACAAGGGATAAACCTCTACTCTTGTTAAAAAGACTGGGATCTGTGTGAACCAGTTTTATTTAAATAAAACTATTTACATTAACTTATTTTAAAATGTAAATTCGGAGTTGTTCCTCATGTTGTAAATTATATATATATATATATATATATATTAAAATCATGCATAGACAGATTGTTTCGGTGTATCACAGCTCATCAGTGTGGCTAGATAACTGATTGCTTCAAGCCGGGATCGAAAGCCGTCCGATTTGGCATCAGTCAGAGATTCTGCCCCCAAGCTATCGTCGCACGGCAGAACGGAATGGAAATTAACGTTTTTACTAAGCGAAAGACGTGAGTAGCTAAAAGACCTCGATTTGAGTAGAAGAGCATTGCATTAGCAGATACTGTTTATAAAATCGCCACTTCCTCTCCGACAGATATATATATATATATATAAAATAAAAACATTCAAACATTTTTTGGCGGGAACAGTTTTTAATTTGGGATCCCAAATTAAAAACTGATCCCGCCAAAAAAATAATAGTTAGAATGAACTACAACAACCAACCCCAAAATTGAACAAATAGCATTAATTAAATTCTCAAACCAAAAAACTGTTAAATACGTGATATAAACAAATTTTTACTACGTTAATAAATAAATAAATAAAATAAGAAACAAAAAAATAAAAACGAGCAATATAACTTGACCCAAATAAATAGACAAAGCGACTTCCGGTAAAAAATAACCGCCATAATAGAATACCCACAATGCACCACTAACCCGTATATATATAAATAGCCGAGAAAAATAACAGCATATGTGGCCTGACGATTGCATATAGCATGAAACAGACTGTCGCCTCTAAGTGTTGACTTCTATGTTCACTTTTATATTTATATATATATATATATATATATATATATTAGTTGATTTAGTTTCTTCACCTGTTCTTCTTCAAATCCATATACGTCTTGAATGTTCTTGAAAATAGTACCTGATCATTCGCATTGCATCAATAAATTTTTAAAGTACTGTAATACTTATGAAAATAATAACCGGGAATTCACATATAAATCACATCATTGTAATAACTGCAAATTATGCTTAGAAGACAAATTAGAAATAATTACTTCTAAAAATCAAAATAAATTGCTAAATAAAATGAGTTAACTACTAGAAAAAGTGACAAATACCTGCTTTGCCATAAAAA